GGGGTCTCTGGAAAACCATTGGTCAAAAACCGGTTTTTCAAGAGTTTATGAGTACAGTTATGTTTATCATGCATTATTTCATGATAAAAAATCAATCGAGACTAAATAAGAGGTTATGAGGCGTCATTTTGTAGTTCAAGTTGCATATCATGCCATGGTTGCTTATTAATTTCATGACATTGGCTGAGTATTTTCGTCAGAAAAAAAAGGAAAAAGAAGATGATCATCGTCAAACGTTAAGGCACGTCGAGAAAAAATGATTCGGATACCGAAACGAGTGGGACAATACATTGAAATTTTAGATTTTCAAATTTATTGATTTTAGAAAAAGAAAAACAATATTTCCAGCGAAGAAAAAGAAAACAATTTAGTATTCAAGATTAGAATTGGTTATTTTTCGGTGAGATGCAACATCGTATTTACATGATCCACTAAATAAAAGTTGTAATACTTCACTATAGGTCTTACCTTTATTATAGGCATCCAGAGTTCTCCAAAATCGTCGAAAAAGTTTATTTTGAAGATTTTTCTGAAAGAAGTATACTCTAGAATCAAGAATAAGTCGAAGCATAGTTGGAAAAGTTTGATCACTTTTTTGTCGAACAAAGCGTTTCATTGAGCACCAAAGTCCCTCAATAGGGTTAAGCTCACAATGATATTTCGGATTGAAAATGATTTTCATTTGATATTTTACAGCAAGCTTTTCAAGCCGGCTAATATTTTTAAATGCTGGATGATTGGATAAAAGCCGACGAAGACCTTCAAGTTTTATTTTATCATCCACATTAAAATTAAGCTCTTTCGCCAATATTAGCAAGCCTTTAGACTTTCCATTATGTTCACCATTAGTGAAAAAGCAAGATAGTCGTTTAGTTTGCCCATCATGATCAAGATATTCTATTGTGTCTACCGGACATCTAGTGCCTATCGTTTTGCCAAAATCATGTAAGCTGAATTGCTTTGCAGAGTGCGTCCGAGCATTATCAACAATGATTTCAAAGTCATGTCCTTTGTATTCTGTCTTGAAAGGCAGTAACTGGAACAGTCGTTCGAACTGATTGAGTATTGTCTCGTTATCGAAGTACATATCATATCCAAGGTTGATAGCGGAAGTTGCGGAATATTGTGTGTAAGGAACAACACCGTCTGCTAACAAATTTGGATATGCTTTCGAAGCCTCTTCGAATTCAGATTCTGATAAGGAAAAAAATGGACCAGACGGATGACAAACAAGAAAATCCGAGATCATACGACTACGACCTTTTCCTTTACTAAAGAATGAAGCCTGTTCATTTATAATCCATCTTTTATGTGAAACATCGCCGCTGCGAAAAGTTGATTCGTCATGAAAGATTAGAATACATGGTTTCTTAGTTGGTGTTTGCCATGTAGCCATATCGTCATCCTGAATTGTATAGTAATGATCTTTGCGTTTAAGAAAATATGAAATAAACTGCTCTCTATGAACAACAACATCTGGTCTTTCATGACCTTCGAAGTAAGGTCTTTGATTGTTCTTGTCAAATTTTGCGCCCCATCTTCTTAAATCAACTCTACAGCTCGTTTCTGAGCGTATTAATTGATCTTCAGTTTTTGACGTTTGAGTGATTTCGTAATATCTGTTGTCGATAAATTTTGCCAAATCTGAAACAGTAAAATCAGCTGATTTTCGGCCACAGGCATCAGCAACGAACGATTTTGCCTCTACTTCTAGTTCAGGAAAAGTGTCGTAGAAGGAATCACTTGTTTTTCCACCACGATCATCGTCAATGAATGTTTCAAAGTCTCCAGATAAAAATATTTCCGCCCACTTGTGTGCTGTTTCACATCGATAGGCACCAATTTGCCGAAAAATATCGTCAATATTTCGCCACTGATGTCCTAAAAAACGAAGAATTATATATAGTAATGTAGTAAGCTTTCTGGATCCACATTCGTTCTTGCAGAGACCAAAAAGATCGCCAATACTGGGTAAATCCAGTTTTTCAAGAAAATCATGTTGATTGTTGAAAACTTCACCACCATTTTCACACCACTTTGCGTTATTTTCATCACCAAAGTCATCATCAGAAAACACTTCCTTTGAATGAAAATCCTTTTTTTCACACCATCGAGCCGATATAGCAGTCTGAGACTGTGCTCGTTTAAGACTTCTTCGTCTTTTAGGCATGCCAACAGTAAATTAGATAATAAAGTAGATGTATACAAGAAATAGAAATGAGAAAACTTTGTTTTAATTTTGCAGCAGTACCTGTTTACGAACTATAGATAGGTCACTTAGCAGACATCAACTATGCAGCTTGTCTTGTCTTCTGCTGATTCGAGAAACAAAGAAAATGAATTTTCAGTAACTTCCAATACTCATGAGATGAAAAATACCAGTGATGTAAGAATTTTTATGAAAACTCTTGAAAAACCGGTTTTTGACCAAT